CCGGCCTGGTTGTAGGCAGCCATGTGGTGAGAGCATGAGGGTTAATTTGCATATTACTTCTTATATAGGATGTGTATTAAATTTTTTCTAATACTTTTCTGCTTCAATTTAGAAAATCACATTTTTCTCCTTTATTCTGTTAATGTATTATAGTATAGAAATCAATCTGATTTATATTGATTGTTTTTTTTAAGTTTAACCAATATTGTATTCCTGGGATAAACCCAATTTGGTAATGAGGTTTTATTTTTATATATTGCTGGATCCAGTTAGCTAATATTTTAAGAATTTTTGGAATTATATTTATTACAAATAATGTGTTTGTCTGGTTTTAATAGCAAAGTTATGTAGGCCTCATTGAATAAATTGGGAAGTGTTTCTTTCTCCTCTCTTTTCTGAAAGAGTTTGTGTTATTTTCTCCTTAAATATTTGATGGAATTCACTAGTGAAATTTTTTGGACCTGGAGTTTTCTTTAAAGAAAGATTTTATTTTTATCATTATTTTTTATAATGGATTCAGTTACTTTAATAGATATGGGGCTATTTATATTTTTTCTTACATTGGTTTTGATAAATTATATTTTTCAAAGAATTTATCCATTTCATTTAAATTGTCATATTGACTAGCATAAAATTATTCATGATATTCCTTTATTATTATTTTAATGTTTGTAGGATCTGAGTGATACCTCTCTGTATTCTTATGGATACTTTGTATACTCTCTGTTTTATTCTTGATTCACCCAAGTTCAGGTTTATTGATTTTGTTTATCTTTTCAAAGAACCAGCTTTTAGCTTTGTTAATTTTCTCTGTTGTTCATTTGTTTGGTATTTCTTTGATTCCTGCTGTTATCTCCATTATTTTCCTTCTCCTTACTGTGAATGTATTTCACTCTTCATTTGCTAGTTTGTTAAATAGAACCTTAGGTCATTAATTTCATATCTACCTTTTTATGCTCCAAATTTATGTTCAAGCATTGCTTTATCTGCATCCCACAAATTTTATGTGTTATATTTTCATGTAATTGAGAGGATTTTCTGATTTTTATGTGTGATTCTTTTTTTTTTTTATCTTTGGGGTTATTTACAAGTATATATTTGATTTGGCAATGTTTATCTATTTTTCCTAGATATCTCTTCATTAATGTTTTCTAATTTCATAGTAGCTAGTCTGTAATATTTCAGTATTTTGAAAAATTTATTGAGTTTTTTAGTAGCCCATTTTATTGAACATACTATGTGTATTTCAAAAGAATATGTAGTCTGCAGATGGATAAGGTCTACAAACATGAGTTATCATGTCAGGGTGTTTGATAATGTTCAGATTTTTTTAGGGAAGTTAAAGACTCCCACTATGAATATGATTGTAGGTTTGTCTACCCTTTAATTCTAACCACTTTGTCTTCATGAATTTTGAGGCTCTGTTATTGGGATCATAAACCTTTATGACTGTTATGTCTTCTCAATGAACCGACCCTTTCATCATTATGAAATGTCTATTTCTGATAATACTATTGGTAATACTATCTATTTTATCTGATATGAAGATGGCCACTCCAGTGTGCTTATGTTTCCTGATTGCATGGTAAATCTTTTCAAACCCTCTATTTCAAGCTGTCAGTGTCTTTATATGTATTTATAGTATATCTCTTATACACAGCTCTTATCCATCTGGACAATTTGATATTTAATTGGAGTGTTTAGCCCATTTATATTTAATGTAATTCCTGTTTTATTTAATTTGGATATACCATTTTATTCTTTGTTTTTCTGTTTGAACAGACTGCTTACTGTTTTACTATTTCTCCTTTCCTGCCTTTCTTTGTGTTAATAGGATAGTTTTAGAATGCCACTTTAATTCTTCTATTGACTTTTTAACTATTCTTATTTGAATTTTTTTTGGATGGTTGCTTAAGTGATGAAAATATACATATTTAACTTTTCACAGTACTAAGACTTAAAGTACCACTTTATGTAACATGTAGGTATATTGTAATGAAATAGGTCATCCTATTTGTATTTTAAGAAAGTTAAGAGTTAAGAAAGCTAAGTATACTACCAATGATACCTACCTATCACCTAATATCTAAATTTTGAAGGTGAAACCAAACTATATTTTCAGAATCAACTAAACTTGGTTTTGGTATATATGCCTTTTAAAAATATTTCTGTGTTCCATTTCCTAATATTTTAAGAGTTTTGTTTCTATATGAGTAAGAGAAATTGAACTGTTAATTTTAATGTACATATTGTAATATTCTTGTCAGATTATCTTTTTTTAAGTATTTTACTCTATTATTTTTCTTTGTCATTTTTTAATTTTCAGTTACACTTGACATACACTGTTATATTAGTTTCAGGTGTACACCCCAGTGATTAGACATTATATAACGTACTAAGTGATCATTATGATAAATCTCGCACTCATCTGACACCATACATAATTATTAGAATACTAGAGACCTGATGCTTAAAAATTTGTGCACTTGGGGGTGGGGGGTCCCTCAGCCCGGCCTGTGCCCTCTCGCAGTCTGAGACCCCTCGGGGGATGACCACCTGCTGGCTTAGGCCTGCTCCCCGGGGGATTGGGCCTAAGATGGCAATCAGACATCCCTCTG